GGAGTCCCACAGAACGTCCTCTCCTGTGCCCTCAGTGGTCCTCTCCAAATGGCAGTACGGTGCTGAGAAAGCAGAGCAATAGTTAAAAGCCCTTTGGCAAGAGGTCAGAAAGAACTAGGTTTGAATCTTGTCTCTATTATTTTCCAGCTGTGTGACCTGAGGCGAATTGCTCAGTCTCTCGGAGCTTCAATTTCTTCATCTAATGGAGATGATAACATTTACTTCATAAAATTGCTCAGAGGATTACACAAAACAATGAATGTGAAATGCTTTGGGTGATGTTTAGCATATACTAGTAATTGATGACCAATAAATGATAATTAATGTATTATAATTTATATCTTTCTTTTGAATCTTTATCATTATGAAATTTACATAACTAAATTAGCAACACCAAATTTCTTTTGCTAGTGTTTACATGGTATATATATTTCCATATTTTTATCTTCAATCTTCCTGTGTCTCAGCATTTAAAGTGTCTCTTATAAACAGCGTAGTTATTTTTTTAATCTGGTTTGATTGTCTCTGTCTTTTCATTGGAATGTTTAGTCTATTTATGTTTAATGTAATTACTGATATAGTTGTGTTTTAGTCCACCACCTTCCTATTGAGCATGACTTTTACTCCTAGAATGTGGCCCTTCTGGTGTCTTAAGCAAAAGCCCAGGATGTCTGTCAAAGCCCCTCTACCTCAGTGGGACTTGAACCTCTGTCTCCTCACCATTGTGCAACAGCTCAAATCTGTTCAGCTCTTCAGCTTCCCAGCTGCTGTTTCCTGCTGTGTTTCCTAGAGTTCTCACTGTATGCTCATCTGAGAAGTCAGCCAACAGCTTGAAAAATAGCTCTCTCATTAAGTCCTCTCCATCATTCTCCCTTCGAGTCCCAGCTACTCTGGCAGCCTTCAATTCTGATCTCAGCCCCGTAGGACTGCTGCTTCTGCTATCACCATTCTTCCCCTCCACCCACCGGCACCAGTGATTTGGCAAAATGCCTTCAGGAAAAACCAGGGTGAATGTGAAGATTGCCCAATACATTTCCCTTCTCTTAGAGGTCATAGCCTCTCAGATCCCCTCTGGACTGGGTGTTCTCCAATTCCTTCACACAGATGTTTTATATATTTTGTCCAACTTTTATAATTATTTTGGCAGGAAGATTAGTCTGAGACAAGCCCTTCCACTATAGCCAGAACCAGAAGCCTTATGCTGTTTCTATTTATTGAGCCTGTCTCCAAACTACCTTAGCATGGGCAGCTTTTTGTTGACAGGCAATTGACTTGATCCTAGATCAGTCTGCAGAGAATGGAATGACCTCATAAGTTGGACCCCCAGACAAAACTATGAGATATTTAACTGATATAGGACAGAAGTTTAGGTATTTCTTGAAAGTTATGTGGTCCTGAGAGTACGAAAGAATTCAGGAGAGTGTTAAGATTCAAGATATTCACATTGCTTATGATTCTTCTCAAAGGCCCTCAAATGTAGGCCAAAAGGCCAAAGAAATGAAGAACCAATTGAATGAGTGACTTGGTGACAAGGCATACTTCTGAAGGTAGAGTGAAGAACTGGGCAACGGTGTAAGACAAGTTCAGGTGTGTGGCTTTAATTAGAAGGCAGGGAGACATTTTAGTAAGGATTGAGTTTTAGAAAAATCAGTTGGGGATGTCCACAGGAGAGATGAAATCTGCAGACAAATTGGTACCAAGTCGTAGAGGTCCAGACGGGCGTGATGAGGGCCTGGCAGGCATATGAGCTGAGAATAACAGATTTGAGCAAGAAATTCCAGAATCATGGTCAGTGGGGGAGTCCAGGCATTGATGGGTGGAGGCCAGGCTCCAAGGCCTGTGGGCCAGGCCAGCCAGTGCGCCCTGGACACTGAGACCCACCCACCGGCCCGATGCAGTCTCGTTCTCCAAGGGTCCCTAGCACACCATGTGGCTGGCCTGTTTCCTACTGAGAGAGACGTCTGCAGAGGGAGCAGCAAAGGCAGTGCCCACAGAAACCTTGACATGAAGATTATCCTGAGTCACCCGGTGGGCCCACAAGGGTCCTTCAAAGTGGAAGAAGGAGCAGAGTGCAGGCTGGAGAGAGGGAGGCCACCCACCATCGCTGGCTCTGAAGGTGGAGGAAGAGGGCCAGGAGCCAGGGAAGAGGGCAGCCTCTGGAGGCTACCGAGTGAGGAAGTGGAGCCTCCTTAGGGCTTCCAGAGAGGAACACAGCCCTGCTAACACTGTGACCCCAGCCCAGGGAGACAGACTCCCAGCCTGCAGCCCTGAGGGACAATAAATGTGTGTGTGTAAAGCTACCAATCGGTGGTCGATCTGTTGCACCAGCCAGAGAATGAAAGCACGTTGCAAGGCTGGCTCCTTGACACTCAGGTCTCAATTCAAGTCGATGTTAAGAGAGACATTCTCACCTGGCTGGCGTGGCTTAGTGGCTGAGCATCGACCTATGAACCAGGAGGTCACAGTTCGATTCCTGGTCAGGGCACATGCCCAGGGTGCCGGCTTGATCCCCAGTAGGGGCCCGGTTTGATTTCCAGTAGGGGGCATGCAGAGGGCAGCCAATCAGTGATTCTCATCATTGATGTTTCTCTCTCTCTCTCCCTTCCTCTTTGAAAATATTTTTTTAAAGAGAGAAACCTTCTCTAGCCACCTCACTTCAGGTAACTCTCTACTCAACTGCCTTTTGCCATTTTATTCCATCAGGTGTGGTTCTTTATTTGAAATCCCTATTGCCCTAATAAGATTGTAAGCTCCCAAAACACAGGCACCTGGAGACATCCCTCATGTATCCCCAGCACCAAGGAAAGTGCCTTCGCACAGTGGCAGCTCCACACACGTGATGGGTGGATGAGTGGACGGGTGAGTGGATGCTGCGGTGCCCCGAGGACTGAAATCTGCCGAGGCTAAATGGGTGGCAGCTGTTTCCCTTAGCAACAGCCTTGGAAGACTCAACAAAAGTGTACACACTCCCCCCTCTCTGTCCTCAGTTCAGGTCACGCCTCTATAAATGCGCTTCCTAAGCCTTCAGAGGCCTCAGGCTGATGCTGCTCTCTCCCTCTTAGGAAAACTTAGGCCAAGAGTAAAACATCATAAATTCTTCCTGCCAAACCAAACTAGAGGGGAATGCAGGAGACACCATGAGTAAGTAGGGTGAGCATCCCCCTGAACCCAAACACCCCGGGAAGAGACCAGGTCGCTTTGGGCAGAGGTTCTAACGCCTTCCCAGACTCTGTGCGGTGTTTTCCAGGGTCCGTAGACAGGCCGTTGCTCCAGGAAATGACTTGCCCATCCAGACAAGGGCGGCAAACAAAACCCCAGGAGATCAGCTGGGCAAGGCCGCTGCCGAACCCCGAGGGGAGGCAACAGGAAAAGGGACGTGGAGGCAGGAAAAGCGGGGACAGAGCGTGAGGACAGGACGCCCAGTGCTCTGCTGTGCTGGCAGATCCAGTCCAGGCGCCACCCCAGGGAGCAGGGAAGGTGACAAAACGACGTTTATTGGATCCGTTTGGGAAACAGGCAGCATGAAAGGTTTTTGGGTTTGTGAGCTCACTGGGAGTCTAGAGTGATCACTTCCTGTCCTTGAACCTCAGCCACAGGAAGATCAATGACGAAAAGGGATCTTCATGTCGTGAAGGGGAGAAAGTGTTAAAACACGCCAGCTACCCCTCCTGGTGGCTGGAATGCCCATGAACATCAATAGTGTGTGGACAGGTACACTCTGAAGTGTTTACTGTGCAAACACCCGGTGTGGACATCAGAGGTGAAACTGGCTAACAGCCCTCAGCAAAGTCAAGTTCCCTGGGTCTGGACTGACCCTCCACTTCTCCACCTGGGAGCGCACGTGTTTCGTTGACCGCTATCTGCATCGGGGCCACTTAATATATGGAAAAGGCATTGAAACATGTATGCAGTGTTAACGTTGTAAACGAAAAAAACAAAAACAAACCAAAAGCCCACTAACAAACCCAAGCATGACTAATTACTTTGCCTGGGTCAATACAGCCCAGTCTCAAGTGCTCCGTGTGCTAACGGACCGAAGCCACCCATTAAGCACATGCCGTGCTGTTACCTACTGATGCTCCGTCTGCTAACGCACATCCGCCTACGTGTGGGTTTTATGCCGCACACCCACCGAGATTTTGGTTGTGTTTGTTTGACGTTCTCAGATCTCCCGTCACTCTCGTGGAAGGATGAACACGAAACAACTTGTTAAAACACAAGCTCCAAATTAGCAGCCACCCAGCGCACAGCTCTGGTCATGGTTTGGATCTCCGCCCGGGAGAGGAATGCTGTCCAGGCTCAGAGGAGCTCAAAAGGCCCTTCCCCTGCTGGTGGCGAACCTGCCCTCATCGCCCCCGTGGCCTCCTCCCGCCTCATTCGAAGCCAAGCTGGCTCTCGCCTCTGAGATTTTTATTAACCAACTTTCCAAGCCTAACAGGATACCCAGAAGGTGCCAGAAGGGTTCCAGGGAGCCTTCTCTTCCCTTCTGGAGCTGTTCCGAGTGGGGCCAATAGGCAGACAAAGAGAACAGAGGTTCCCGGTGGACAGAAACCCAGCCCGGGCAGCAGCGGTAAGAAGACAGCACGCTACCAAAGGCATTTGGAGGCCTCAGGGGTTAGAAATTCCAGGCATTTGAATTCCCTGTACTCACAGGAAATGAACATCTCTCCAAAAGGTCCTATATACTCCCACCTTACTCTCCCCACCCCACCCCCCACGGTAAAGCACGAGACATTCCATTGCTACAGCCTCTGCTCAGGAGGCAGCTGTCTCCCTACCTCACTGCGGCTCCTCCCACAAACCACGACACTCACACACACAGGCCATTCTGGATCCCAGCCCAGCTGCTTCCGGAGTTCTGCAGCCCGTGAGCCCTGCCCACGGCGGATCCCTTCTACCCCGCAAACGCTCTGTCCCCTTTCCCAGAGGTTGCTGAAGACACACTCCAGTGGGAAGGAGCAGTGCGAGACCCTCCGTGCAAATATTCGCAAACAATGGGGTTTGAAACAACGCACATTTTAAAAATTCAAGTCAAATCCAGGAACAAGACTAGTTGGTTGGTATCAGCCGGCCCTTCACCCACAACAGGAGAACGGTCAGTTTCTGACGTCAGAGAGGGATGAAGGCACCAGCGACGCCCCTGGGAGGCTGGTTCTGTGAGTTTGGGAGGAAGCCTGGGGGGAAATGCAGAGGCTTCATCCAACCTGGTGGCTTCCAGGATGTGACGATGTGACGTAGGGGACCCTCAGCACCAGGGGGCAACTCTGTCCCTGTAATCCTGAAACTAAAAGGAGGAAGGTGCTTTCCCAGGGCCCTGCTGGATAGGGGCTGCGTCTCCATCCACTCCCCACAAACAGGGAAGGAGAGGTACCTTTCACCCACACACCTCTGCATCACCAGACCCAGAGGGGAACTCCCGCACATCCTCTGGGCTCTAGGCGTGGCCCAGACAGCCTCCTGCCACAGCAACGCCAGGGCACCAGGCTGTTTCCTGGGGGGCATTGGGCAGTCCAGGATCTGAGTGGGGAAGCCCAGAGATGAACCCCGGGTCAGGCAGGCCAGGCTGGAAATCAGAAAGTGGGCACCAGCCCGCTGGGTCTGCGTGGCTGCGAACAGGTGGTCACAGGCACAAAAACGGAGAGGTTGACAACAGGGATTCCCCCGGGCACTCAGACGAGGCTTGTCCCCAAGAAGACACGAGGCAGCCTTGCCCCCAAGGAAGCACCTGCTGGTGAGTCACAGGATGGGCTGTCCTCAGGCTGGCTGCTGGGCAGAGCTGGGAGGTGCCCCGGTGGGCAGTCAGCTGAGGGAGGCACAGTTGGCCTCCGAGTCCTCCGGGCAGCCCCCGGGCACCCCCTCCAGCTCCTCGGGGCCGTCGGTGATGCTGGGCTCGCTGGAGCACTGGCGGTGGGGCGGGGAGAAGCGGGGCGGCAGGAGCAGGCACTGGTCCTCAGGCCCGGGCTCCTCGCCTCGGCCCGAGTGCATCATGGTGGCCATGGCCAGCAGCTGGATGTCCGAGTGGGCGTTGGCCACCGTGTGCCGCCGGACACTGCCACACTTCTCCAGGTAGGCCTCCCCCTCCTGCTCCGTCAGAGGGGTCAGGGCCATCTCATTCAGGGGCCGGCTGCCGGTGGCCATCGGGGAGGCATAGTTCAGGACCGTGACCTTGGGCCGGACCCGGGAGTGGCGCCTGGCTGCAAGAGAGAAAGCAACAGAGGCTGTCATGGAGGAGGAAATAGTGTGTGTGTGTTGGGGGGGCGGGGGTGAGGGGATGTCAAATACTCCTCATTGATGGGGAAGAATGACTAGGGTGCAATGTGCCAAGAGACCACCAAGACCAAGGATCTATGCAGCCTGTGGCAGAGGTGCTCTCGGAAGGCTGGAGGCACCGTTTCTGTAATGTTCCCACATTTTTTTACAATCGCCATGCATTACTTTTATGATCACGAAAGTCGATATCTATAAAACAGAAGCAGCAGGAGAGTTCAAAGCAGCAACAACCCCGTTAAAGAACCAGCCTTTAAAAACGCCCTTGAACACAATTCATGTCTCTCCCACTGCTGCCAAAAGCAAGCACCTGAGATCGGCCATTGAAAGATCCCGTGTTGTGGCCCCAACTCTACAAGCAGCCAGGCAGGAGGTGGGGCTATCCGCTGAGCATTCCCTACGTGCAGGCCCAGGAAGAGGAAAGAGCTAGAATAGAAGCTGGGCCCAGGACACGGGGGATTTGGGGGTACTGGGGACAGGTGTGCTGGGCAGACCCAGGCGGTATCTCTGGAAGAAATGGGAGTTCATTGGATGATATCCAGGGGCTCCAACCTGGTAGAATGAGCCAGGAAAGGTGTCTCGGTTGGGTGCCTGGAAGTCGCCCACCTCTCGGACGCTGTTAGTCCAGTAGCCCAAAGCCCTGGGAAGGTTAACGGGCAGCAAACTGAGAAGAGAGGCCTGCTGGGCTGCTGCTGAGAGCTGGAGCCAGAGTGAGGTGGGCAGCTTGGAGGAGGGGGTCTCCATGACTCCCGCAATAGACACTTCCTAACATGTGAAATACTGTGCTCACAGCAGGAGAAAGAGAAGCATACATGTGATGTGGGGCCTGCCACACGGGCTTGAGCCCAGTGCCCATGTGTGTGTGTGTGTGTGCGTGTGCGTGGTGGGCAGCTGTCTCAGGGGCAGTCGTTAACTGAACACCTATTACGTGCTAAGTTCTGTATCAAAGAAGAGCGTGCTTCACTGACATGAATGAGCCCATTTTGTAGAAAAGTAGCCCGAGGTTGAGATCTACATTCAGGCCCAGGCCGCCAGGAGAGCTCCACTGGGAGGCCCCAACTCAAACACAGGTCAACACAGCACTCTGGGGACTCAGAGACGTCCTGCAGAGGGCTCAGCATGTGGCCTGGGGTCCCGGAGAGGGAGGCGGAGGCACACACATGCCTCACCGGGAATCGTCCCTGGGGCCAGGCCGCCCCTAGCTGGGCCCATAATGCCGGCAGGTGGCAGCTCTGCCTGGGTCCTGCCCTAAGCTAGGGCAGCTTCTTTCTCCGTGGTGCTCAGCTCAGAGAGGTTGATTAACTGACTCCAGGCCACACAGCTGAAGCCAGCCCTGTCGTTTCCAAGGCCCTTCTCCTTCCTCGGCTGGCCCCACCTCTCTCCTCGCTGCTGCTCTGCGCCTTCCATGCGATGACTCACCCAAGAGGCCAAC